GAGGATTCAACACAGGACTTACCAATCACAAAAATCAATTATATATTACGGGAACGAAATAACCAAAAACTGCAAAACTCAATCCGAAAATACGTGGGCGAGGGTTTTATACCCCTTCCACATGGGTGCAAGCCCGGAATTGGTGTGCAAAGGGAAAGGAATTACGATTTGCATGATTCACCTAGCATCCACCTCCGAAGTTACATAACACTTACGGCCGTACAAATTTAGTGATTAATAAATCGACTCAGAAAATAAAAGGAATAATTTCAACAGTCTTGTGACACCCTGTACATGAACACATATCAGGGACAAAAAATCCCTACTTTAAATCCACTAGTACACTGCATAGGGATATCACATTTTTCAACATGTATGCCAACTTTGAGATGAGCCAAAAACCAAACAACAAATATTGTACCGTATTTTTTGATATTTTGTAGAAAACATGTTGGGGTTTGATTTTCATCCAAGTTTGTCTCAATGTCGGGTAATCCACTATCAAATTCAAGGTCAAAGTAAAGGTCAAAATGTCATTATAATTAAAATAACCCCGACATGAAAAACAATGGTAAATTTGGATTTCTCATGATGTAACCTTTTAAAAGAAATCAAGATTAACAAAATTTGGCTCACAGATTATAGAGATATGGTTATTTAAAAAATGGCAGCAATGTCCATTTTGACCAAAATTGCCTGGGCAGTAGCGCGAAAACCGTTTGTCCGATGGCGCTAAAACTTAAAATTTCGGCTTTTCAGCGGAAATTTCCCCATAAAATAAATATGAACCAATTTGAAGAGGTTGGGGTTTAAAATTTAAAAGTTTTGGGGGGTGATTTGACACTGAATGACCCCGATGTCTAATGACAAAATGTTGTTTAAAGTACCCCGAAAAGCAACTTAGGACGAAAGTTATTAGATAGTATATTATGTCGTATTTTTGGCCATTGCAATTTTCTTTGCTAAAGAAGGAATTTTTCTCAAATTTGGATAGAGTTTACCTTCCTAAGCTTGAAATCCATTGGTAACATTTTTTTCCATCTACCATGTGGCAGCCGTCTTGGAATTCAAAATGGCCGCCATTTCGGGCCTAATTTGTATCTAACTTCGGACCTGATGGTCATATGAAGTCGTTTTGATGGCAAACCCCACGTTTTTGATACCAAGGAACCCGAGAAAATCATTGTTGATGGGGTATACTCCCAGTGGAGTACCCCATCAACAAGGATTATACATGTAACTGGGGTTCCTTGGTATCAAGAACATGCAGTTTGCCACCAAAATGGACTTAATACGACATTCAGGTGCCACCTTATTATTTAAATGAATTCCAAGGTGGCCACTATTTTTGAATATCCAATATGGCTGCCATCCATTTGGGATGCCTAAATGTGTTAATTAGATTCCTTGGTATCAAATTCATGGGGTTTGCCACCAATAGTGATTTCATACGACATTTACGTCCAAATTTAATATGCAAATTAGTTCAAAATGGTGGCAATTATGAAATATCCAAGATGGCTGCCATCAATTTTGAATACCCCATCCGCAGTGGTTTACTTGAGTTCATTCAAAAACATGCAATGTTATTATAAATGAAATCCAAGATGGCGGCTATTTTGAAAAATCCAAGATGGCTGCCATCCATCTGGGATACAGCATCAGCAATGGGTCTTGAAGATTAATTGGTATCAAATGTATGGTGTTTGCCACCGAAATTGAATTCGTACAACATTCAAGTCCGAATTTATTATGCAAAGAAGCCAAAAATGGCGGCCATTTTGAAATATCTAAGATGGCTGCCGTCCATTTGGAGTACATCGTAAACAATAATGTACTCGGGTTCCTTTGTATCAAAACATGGGGTTTGCCATCAAAATGAACTTTATGTGACAATCAGGTCAGAAGTTACATGATACAAATTAGGCTCGAAATGGCGGCCATTTTTTAATCCAAGATGGCCGCCACGTTGTAGCTGGGAAAAAATGTCTCCAATGCATATCCGATCGACTTAGGGAGGCAAACTCTTTCCAAATATGGCAAAAATTCCTTCTTAAACAAAAAAATGAAAAAGTACATAACGGCCTATACTACCGGTATATGGCCAAATCATATAAAAATCATGTAATTAACGGCCTTTTGAATTTATGCAAATTAGGCATATTTCCACCACTTGGATTTTTAACAACTTTTTAGGGACCTTATAGCAATGCACTTTGTTGTGAACTTGACTTGGATTATCTGGGAAAATTCAATTGGTACATGTCCACACATGGCATCCATTATTTTAACTTAAATTTTGGCAAATTGATATACGGCATTTATGCAAATTATACCGCATTTGGAAAATTTCGAAAACATAGGGATCTTGAAATTTACCTAGGACTAGAATAATGAGTAAATCAATGTAAAAGGACTTAAACTGTCGTTTAAAGTACCTCCAAAATCTACCTAGTATGAGAAATATGACCAAATCAATGCGAAAGTCTTAACATTTGTGGCCATTTTGGATTTATGCAAATTAGGCATATTTCCCCTACCTGGATTTCTTAAGACTTTTAGTATGTCATTTTAGGGACCTTATAGAAATGCACTGTGGTGAAAAAAATTATGTTGCAATTTGTTTGAGGTCAAACCTAACCTTATATTGCCTGTACTAGTATAAGTCTTACTAATGGCGATCAATAGGCCTATACCAGACCACGCAGGCATTTAATTTGTTACTGTGCACGTGTATCGTGGAAGGGGTTTGCCCCGGTGTTTCTGACAGTGGCTGCAATATGCGCCGCAGCACCTTGTAAACCATTATAAGGTGCTACATAATGGGTCTCATATTTCTCATGAACTTTGTTTACCTTTCTTTGATAATAGACATAATCTCCAGCGCCATGAGTACCTAATTGTTGGTAGATACGTGCGCCCAAACGTGATGATACAATTCAAGGATTACTTTGCTGGATTTATTTCAAGCATTAAGGAGATAATCCAGGGTAAATCAAGCCAATTAGTGCAATGAATCATGTGTGCAAAAGACCATTCATGTAAGTCGGCAAAATGACGACTTACAGCAGATATCGGCATTCGCGTAAGTCATCACAAATCCTCGGGTCCCGAGAGTGCCGGTTTAACCGGAGTTTACTGTACTTTATACAGCGTGTCCTCCCAAAAATGTTTGTCTACATATATGTTACTACCGGTACAAAACCATGAAGTCGATTTTGAAATGTTTTGATTGTGCAAATGTACCCCTAATCCTTGGCCCAACCCCTATTACCATGATTTATATGTAATTTCATTTAATTTCAGTCGTGCATCACTGCACAATGGTCAATTGATTACAACAACATTTTTGGACACTGTGACCAAGTTCCTTGCCGTAGGCCTCTTATGTGCAATGTATAAACTGTGTAAAATCCTGCATGTTGTGGAAAAAAGGCTCATGTGGTTTGGGATTGGAATCATTTGCCCTTGAGCATTAAACTGAAGTTTTGCCATGACTACTGATACTAGCCAGGCAAATGATTCCAATAAGCCATTTGCGAGTTAAATTTGAATAAAATCTGGAACGCTGACTTAATCCAATGCTTTGCACATTTTAACTTTGCATTCTCCCGACCAAAGAGACTGTTACTACATCACGTGATTCGGGGCAAGCCTTATGCTAGCAACACCCAGCTTTGGCATGGTCTGGTGTCTTTGTGCCATTCTCACCCATTGTGAGCGATGTATTGATGCTGAGCGTCTCTTACGTAACTATGCAAGAGCTTGCCCCGAATCATGTGATTAGCAACAGTGTCTTTGGTCTGGAGAATTCAAAGTTAAAATGTGCCAAGCATTAATCTGAGCAAGTCAGTGTACCAGATGTTATTGAAATGTAAATCCCAAAGGGTATAGGTTACTCGCAAATGGCTTATTCCAACCGCAGCCCTTTTCACTTGCAGGATTTTTTCACAGCTTATATGTACATGTACATAACACAGCACTGATGTCCAAATTGTTGTTGTGATTAATTGAAAATTGTGTAGTGATGCGTGACTGAAATTAAAGGAACTCATAGGGTTTAGGGCAAGGATAAGGAGTATCTGCACAATCAAAAACATTTCAAATTGACTTCATGGTTTTGTAGTTAATTCAAAAATAGTCAGATGGACATTTCTGGGGGGACACACTGTGTATATCATGTACTGTCATGGAACATTTAAATTTTAACAATAATTGGATGATACGGTACCATTTTCTTCAAAGGGTGGAGCAAACCGTATTACAGTGGAATGCTGCCAAACCAAACACTGGCCACGGCTATACCGAACATCATCCTTGGTTCCCGGTTTTAATGTACAAAACATACCAAATTTGTTGAAAAAAAGTCAAACAGATTAACAAAAAATCCTAAAATTCAACAAGCTTCGCAGTAGTAGTGAAGTTTGATTGGGAATCTACCAAGCCGTATTACGGCACGGAGGGATTACGTGAGATTGCGCTAACAGACTTTTAAGTTGGCTTGTGAACACATGTCAAATCAAGTCCAAAAAACAACATAAATATATGTATATTGTTGTTAATTGATTAATTAATTGCACTCCTTGGCATTGTGCAGCAGTCATGGATGAGGCTCTTCCACTGTGTGGTTTGAAATAGCTTTTCAACTACATTTGTACACCTGCATCTTTGAGTGTGTTCCTAACCCATCAGCTGATAGTTTCTTCTGATGCAGCTGTAGGGGTTTGGACAGTGTCAATAACAGTTTGGATTCAGCTCCTAGTATTGTCTCTGTCACTTGAAGATATTTATGAAGCAAAGCAGCCACTCATCAGAGTACAAATATTATGCATTTCTGAGAGGAAAGCCAAACAATATCTTGAGTAATATGCTCTTTTTGATAGAGAAGAATTAATATAAGTATAACAGAGGATTAAAAGCTTAAGTCCCCTCCCCTCTTTCCCAAAGAAGTACTAAGGTCCTGGAGATTTGGACAAAGTGTTTTTTTTTCTGTTCTACAGATTCCCTCCATACTGAGATCAGTTAGTGATGAGCAGATCTTATCTCTACGGCAGCAGACACAGTTCCTATGGGATGCTTACTTCTCTTCAGTTGAAAAGATAGTAACGACAACACTTCAGGTACAGTGTACTTTGTTACATTGGAAAACAGTGTTACTCATGTTGATATTCTTTGGCATCATTATTATTTTAACCAAGTACAAGTTACAGCTTAAAGGTTTAAAATGTTACCCAAAATTGAAACTTTCATTACAGCATTAATGCAGGGGTTTCCCTTAACTTTTTCCTTTACTGGCCGGCCGGGCCAGTAAACCAGAGTTTTCACTGGCCCGCAACCTTTTTCACTAGCCCACATGTTTTAATAGTAACTTTCAATCCAATCACCATAAGCATTTTTGATAACATTTTTGATAATAAATTATGCAATATGAATACAATCGGCAATTATCTTAATCATGTACATAATATTGCATGTAGTTCCTTTTTAAGTGATGTCAATGTTTCTTTAATCGTCCATGCTTTAACATAGAGCAAGGCTTTAATTAACAGGAATCAAATAGGGGGAGAAGTTATAATCAAAATTTATGCAGTGTGCTTCGCTCCGAACTTAAGGCTTTAGGTGTTCTATTTCCGACATGTTTTGATAAAACACGAACTAAAAAAGCGTTATCTTGAGGAACAAGAAAACATTGCACACAGTCGTGGTATTAATGGGAGTTTACCAAGTTAGTAACTGAACTGTTTTAACTTGTTTTCTAGCGAAGAATGGTGCAATCAGCGTGCCTAGCCAAGAAGCGCTGCGGGCGGGCGACCCACGAACTTACGCTGGTCACGTCAATCCATAACGTTTTCCGGAGCACGGTCCACTTTACATTCACTAGTCTTTACATTCAAAATAGGCCCCTTGAATCTCATATTGTCCTCATCTTTTCGGTACATTCGTTTGATAGTGTTCAAGAAATAATCCCAAGAATCCGTTCGGGCACAAGTTTTGGCAGTGAAACTGTCATGAAAGTTTACTCCTCACCACGTTGTATGATACGAATACGATGTTAACGTCCGTACCGTGTGGACTGCAGACGAAGTAAATCACGTGCGCTGCATGTGTGCACAATGTGTAATGGCAAATACACGTTGATTCGCCTCATGTTCGTCGTTGGGATTTCAATGCACAGCGCACTGCGAATATACATGGAGTGATACGAATTCGAACTACCGATGTTTTTATTTCGGTCGGCGTGGCAAAAGTATTCATGTGTTGTATCACCCTTAACTTTTTATTTTGATTGATTGAAAAATACTGTAGGGAAAACTTCATTATTTTAATTTTTTTTTAACAGTTTTTTGACTCGCCCGTCGGACTACTGAGAGGAGGGTTTTGACTCGTCCGCCGCTGTTTTCACTCGCATTTGGCGAGCGAGCGACCGCTAAGGAAAACCCCTGCATTAATGGAAATATTTTTAACCCATAAGCATCGGCACTACATTGTATTACACCAATTAGTGTTTAATCACTGGAGATTCAATAAAACCAGTGTTTGGGTGGTTTCAGGTGCTGCTGTGACCAAAGGATTGAAGGGCCCATGACATGAATTTTACTTGGGAACATATTTTATGCAACTTTCTACTCTTAAATGGATGAAAACTATTTGATATCCCTTAATTTTATTGAAAATGCATTTTCCTTTACATTAAAAAGTGTGCATGTCTTTCCTGACAAATTAGGGCACTGTTGCTACATGTATGATGTCATTTCAGGAAGACACTGTTCACTTTAGGGGTTTTCTATTCAAATTGTCAACCCAAAATTTGCTCATTGAAAACGTTTGTGAAAAAAAGTGTCATGTACTGAAACATCAAATCACCAAAAAAAGAAAATGAACGACAGCAAAATATCCACAATTCTGGCAAATTTTGGTGCTGAAATAGCTGTAACATTGAGCTTTCTGCCTGAAATGACATCACACTTTTGCTCATGAATATGGAAACAAGCTTAGCATAAACATTAAAAAAGCACCAAAATTGCCTTAAAAATGGTAAAATGAAAAATTGAAAATAATGTAAAATGGGACACAAAGATGCATTTATAATAATGTGTTAATGTCAAGGAAATCTACCTTATTATTTTTCATGGCATTATCTTGTGTCTGTTATTTTTTTTTTTTTTCAAAACAGATAATTCAAGATAGATTACAGAACCCAAGATCAGCCTTCATGTGGAATCACCCTCCTGGTGCCCTCGCAGTATTCACTGACTTTGCAGGATCTCATAGTGCATTTCCATTTTATACATCTGTACTTGGAGAAGAAGCCTGTGAGAAGTTTACAGCAGTTATTTCTGTTTCTTCGCCGATTCTGTCACAATCAGCACCCGTTATGAAGTTGATTAAAAGTGTCTCCAAATCTGCATATGCAGCACAAGTGAGTAGATATCACATTCTGTAACTTCAAATAACTTATAGTTTACATGCAACCATGTTGAATAGATTGTAGTCCGATTATAAGTTCTGAATAGCCCAAATAGATGTTTTGGCATTATGTAAGGCCTACATGTACCATAAGAAAAAGTTCCATATTTACTCACGAAGCATTTAAACACTTTTTAAACTTTCTGGTGAGAAGGTGTAATGGTCTAGTTTATAGCTGCTGTCTTTTTTTAATGACAGTACATGTACGTTCTGTACGCCTACACATCATGAATACATGTGCATGAAATATGCAACACAGGAAGTGAGGCCAAGAAGTCTAAAAATCATTATAAGCGTGTATGTCTCGCCAGTCCACATTCACTATTTATTTGTAGGTCTTGGGGCCATCCATGAAGTACGTACACACGAAGGGGGAAAAGGGGGGGGGGGAAGGTGTTGTGTTAACATTGTGTACACCATGCCTACATGGGGGGAGGGGGAAGAATTCGGTAGTCCTTATGCATATGAACAATTTAGGACAAACTCTCGCTACATTTCTGTCAGAAATTACAGGATGAATAGCCCTCTAGAGATCTACGGAATGTGCATGTTTTATGAATAGTAATTAACATGATTAACCAGATCCGCTAGTGCTTTAAGCTGTATTACGTCGTTAAAAGCCTGCATCAGCTACAATGAGTACTACCAAGAAAACGTACAAGGGAGAGTTTCAACCAGAGGTGTAACGAACGAAAAGTAACCAACAAAGCCATAAGAGGGTCAGCTATAATGAGAAAGCATTTGGGCAATTCCATAGTTACGTTACATTTTTGATGTACTTTTGAGTTTCCTTGGGCTGTAATTACATGTACCTTACTGAAAAGGTTTAAAAACTGTTATCCCCATGGTAGATAGAGTAGACCTAGACCTACCTAGGCACCAAAGATGACATCCCGAAAAGTGTGTTATGTATCAATGTTGTAGTCGAGACCGGATAGTCCGAGACCGAGACTGAGACCGCGGATAATAAATAACAATAATCTAAATAAAAAACAAGACGAATAATAACAGCTGAAAAGTCTATCCTTGAGATGATGATGTTGATGGGGATGTGAAGGCAGTGATTGAAAGTTAGGAATCACTTGTACCTGCTTGTGTCATGCGAGTGCTCGTCATGTTTGCTTCATACCTTAAATTACAACATGACATCAGAATTTGTTATTGTTGACACAATCAGTTACAAAAATTGGAAACATGCAACTTCATATCTCGTTGCCACTTTTTAAAAACATTTTTGTGCAAATATTTTTTAAATCTGATGAAGAAACTCTGAACTTAGGAATGCGAAATTTTAACGTTTCAAAAAATATTTTATGCAATGTTAAAACTTGACAAAAGTAAAAACTTAAAGGTGGATGTTTCATCTGTTATAGGAACTCAGATCCTAAACACTCCACAGTCGGCCCTTGATTTAAGCCATGACTACTATTAAACAGATATTTAAAGATGCAATTTTAATTTTACATTGGGCCTCTTTTTTCTTAAATAATAATAGGACTTAACTTCTACCAAGACTTCTAAACCTGATTTAAAAAATGGGAGATAGAAAATATTGAATTTTATTTTAAATTTCCGTCATGGAATATAGACATACATAGACCCACAAGCTGCGAGGTGGTAACCAGATATGGATTTTTTTTTCTGACAGGGATTTTGCTTTTTGAGAAATGGGGTACTTCAATCTGGTAGAAAAAAATTACTTTTTATCCAAAATACTGTCCCAAATTAAACAGAAGATTGTGTGGGGTCGAAAATGTCACTAAACTGGAGCAGCTCATTTATTTTAAAACTGTGGGCCCTTATTGCAGCTAGCTGCAGCTTTACATGTACTTTAGGGCTTTTCCAACGTGCAGTCTGAACCTACCACGATATATAACTATTCGTTAACAAGGTTGAAAACATCTACAGGCTAGCAAATGTTTTACCTATCAACGGTACTGAACACAAAGTAAGTGAACACAAAGTAATCAATTGAGCTGTAAAAAGTACATATTGCTGGTCTCGACTCGAGACCAGCCAAAATAACAACCCAGAGGGGACCGAGACCAAGACCGAGGCCACAGCTCCCAAGACCGACACCGAGCCCGATACCAGCTAAAAGTGGTCTCGAGACCGGTCTCGAGACCTACAACACTGTTATATATGATAAACAAGATGCACAAAATCGGTTACTCACGTTACATTTTTGTAACGTGAGTAACCTAGCAGCATTAGCTGCTAGCAGTTTCAGAAAAAAATCTATCGACTGGTTATATTTAAATTATAGTTCAGTTATTAAGTATCAAATAAAAATGTGTGCATGCCTACGTTGCTTAGTTACGTACGTTACAAAAAAGGACATGGTTAAAACCCATGTGTCTTTGCGTAAAAAGTTTGCTGATACAAATGTATGCGATACAGCTAAAACATATTATACTACATTGTCACCACTCCAAAATTTGGCTAATTCTGAAAATTGGGAATGGTAACCCCGGATCCTAGGACACACCAATAGACAAAATATATGACAAGAAAGAACAAAGTTCTGATATTTCTAGTTATATTAACAACTCTCAAAGTTCTGAGCACTGTAATTACACAGCAAAATTTACACTTACACTATTTAATTACACTCTCGAGCTCGGAAGAAGATTCCCAATTCAACTTCAGATCAGGTGAATTACTTCCAAATTATTAAGTCAATCAATAGCAAGATCATAAAAAAACACTTATGTTCAATCAATCAGATAAAAAACTTCCAAATTATTACATCAATCGACAACTAGGATCATAAAAACACATACGTTCAATCAATTAATTAAATAACTCCCAAATTATTTCTTCAATTAGTTATTACAAAATCCTAAAAACACCGCTCAATCAATCAAAAGCTATCAATTTTTCTCCAAGTGTATTATTATGTACACTTCGACTACTTCCCTTTTACCAACTTCTACAAACTTTAAAGTGTTGGAGTTCCCGATGTCTGAGGGCTCGCAAGACTGTGTGGCACAACTCATGGGACTCGGCTACGCCTCAGTAAAATGCACTACGTCTACAGCACCTCAGTGCATGGTAGACTCCTTCTCCAGTCGGTGTTAGAGTCGACAATGGAACGCTCACAACAAAAAGGCCATCTATAATAAATATAAATCCAAAACCTTCCTAGTTCTCAAATATCTACATAGATTATGATTTAGTTTGTCTTATATCGTCAAACTCGATTTTCAGAATTGCATATTTTCAAAATTCTCACTGATTAAAATAGTTGACTCCAGTCTCCTCGAAAATGTTCAGTCAGAGTCGTAAATTTTACAATGAACTTAGTAATCTTATAACCAATCTTAAGGCTGTAACTCGGTTCATGACATACTTGTACTTCAATATGAAGGCAGGAAAATCACAAATTAATACACTTACGGTATTTGCTGTGCAGCTTTCTTGGGGAGGCAAACTGTTGCCAGGAAATGTCACAGATGACCGGGACAGTTTTACTGCTGGAATTCGGCCTGAATTTGCCCAATTTTAGATACGGAACTGGATTTCCATCTCTCTTCCCGTAGGGATCAAACGGATCCACAAAAGCTATAATCTGCTGTTCTCAGATCTCGGATGCAAGAGAAGTCACAACCGGTCTCTCAAGCACACGATCACTCTCCAAACTCTGTCTTTCTCGTAGAAAGTGGTGTGCTCCAACAGTTTGTTGTATTGTAACGAAAGGCAGTACCCTCTCGTTTTTGCTCTGAGAATATTCCAGGTTTTTTTTGGCGTGTTACATCTCGTTTTTTTTCGTATTGTGCCTTCATCATGTGTTGTGTGATAATTAGTGACCAGCCTCATCTGAGAATTGGGATTTCAAGACATTACAAATTTACAATACAGCAAATTGTTGGAGGTTTTGGATGTGACTGTGTCGACATTTGAGCAAGTCACGTTGCACCACCATGTTATGCTCAGAGATGAAACTTTTTCGATTTTAATCGGAAACAAAGGCCATAACACCGATCGGAGCCTTTTCTTGCTGGACATAAGGTTAAACATTGACAGGTGACATGGAAAAATCACTGTGTCGCACGTCGTCACCGACACCACGAAGTAACACTCTCCCGTGTGAAGCCATATTTTTTTTCGATTTTCAGTTTTTTTTATTTTGAAACATTGCACGAAGTTTCAAAGCTTCAAGAGCTTTGCTTTTAATAATTACGCTAAGTATCCATGGCAACTTTAGCGCAACAGTGACAATTTTTGTTTTCATGAAGTAACACTCAAGTTCCATTTACAACTGCAATGCATGGCGCGCACTCTGCTCATACGTGAGCAAAAACGTTTTCATGAAGTGACACTTTTCTTGTAATAAGTTGTATGAGCGCGCGCACGCTGACCTGAAGTTGCACTTTCCTCGTGTTGTATACATTGAAGAGTGTTACTTCGTGAAAACAAAAAGTCCACTTCGTGTCCTACTTACCTGTTGGACCTACAAATGCATATTTCCTTAACAATGTAAATTAACCGCTAAAGTAAAGATTTGCTATAGCGTGCCACAGCGCCCTCCTGCGCCAGCGCCCACAAGGTCAGAGCCCCCGCCATTATCGTCCTCTTTTTCTTTAGCGCTCGTGACGGTAGGACGTGTTTTCAATGCTCGCAGTAGCATGCACGTTTTTACTGGTTTTAATCGCTATTTGTTATTAATTTTCTCAAGATTTGCAATACATTTGTTTCTTGGAAGCACTAGGTGTGTTTCTGGTTACATTTGCTTGTTTTTAGACGAGTTTTATAAACGTTTTTAATTTTGTTTTATGACCTCGTGTTGTTGCGTGTAAACATTGAACATTAAAGGATACGTATATGTTTGTATTTTTTTATCCTTACAGTTTGAAGAAAATCCTACTATAGTTCTGAGACTGTTATGGTTTTTGGGGTCTTTGACAAAATGCCTCCCAAAAATTTCGTGACTTGTAATAAATGTCACAAGAT